TGGGGACCCAGGTTGATGGAAGCTCCATCTTGACAAACACTAAAGGGATTACTGTGGCAGGGAGGAGGGGCATGGGAATGGCCAGCCCCTCCTTTTTGAAATTCCTCCTTTGGTCCTCGTGATGCGATTCTGATTTTTCTCGTGATTCTCTGATCCCTCACTCCTGTGTTCTGACTTGTGTTCCGTCTCTGCCCTTTTCATGTAGCTACTCCCTAAGGACCATTTATTCCTTGGCCCTCTTCTAACAAAAAAATATTTCCCTCCTTCTCTTCCTTCCTTCCTTCTTTCCTTCCTTCCTTTTTCTTTCTTTCTTCCTTCCTCCCTCCCTCCCTTCCCTTCCCTTCTCTTTCTTTCTTTCTCTTTCTCTCTCTCTTTCCCCTCCCTCCCTTTCTTTCTTTCTCTTTCCTCCTTTCTTCCTTTCTTCTTCCCTTCCTCCCTCCCTCCCTCCCACCCTTCCTTCCAGTTCTGTGTGAATGATTTCCAGATCTTTATTTTCAGCCCAGTTTCCCTGAGTCCCACTTCCACTGTCAGTAGCCATCAGCCTTCTCCCATTACTACCTCAAAATCTCTTACCTAAAAAGAAAATTTCCATCTCCACCAAATCTACTCTTCCTCCCAACTCCCCTATTTCTGTTGACATCCCTTCCTCTCCTCATATTGAAACTTTCAAATAATTTTAGAATGTGTCTCAAATCCATCCCCCTCCCTGTGGTACTTCCCAAGTTCACCAGCCTTCTCACCTCTCTCCTGGAAGACAATAGCCTCCCAATAGCTCTTTGACCACACTTTCAGCCTCTCTGCATGGCTCAAGGCTGCACATTGTACTGCTCTAGGAGCATCATTCATGGTGTATTCTAGGTCAGTGGCTCCCTCTGGAGTTGTGCAGTTGCCCTGCAGGTCCACACTGAGCCCACAGTAATCTGCCTACAGCTCAACTTGAATCCTGACACACCACTGCTCAAAAACCTTCCTGGGCTTCCATTCCAACCTGAATAAAGGCCAAATGCCTTGGTTCTATTCCCCCCACAGGCCCCAATGGGAGTCACCCTCTCTCTTCTGTCTCCTACAGCAAATGGCATTTTCTACCCAGCTTTATAGTGATTTAAGAATAGTTTTCTTCACTTACTCTATGAGTGAGAAGGTAAATTAATTGAGGGATTAAATTAGTAAAGATTATTTGTTGCTAATGGTAGAAAAACTCAAGCCAAAATGGCTTAAGTTTTAAAAGAGAATATCTTGGCTCACATACATGAGAATTACAGCGGGTGTGTCTTACTGCTTCAGGAATAGCAGGGTGCGGGGCTCAGCAGAGATCCTCGGGACTCCTTCCCTCTCTTTCCACCTCAGGAAGCTGAAACCACAGCAGGCCAGTCTGGCGGGAGCTACAGCCAAGGAGGAGAGGGAGCTGCTGCCCGAGATGCTGCCCACTGCACTAGAAGAGGAGGGACACTCTGGCGTCCCCATTCTCCTGTGCTCTAGTGGCCCACTGCTGCCTTCCATTGGCTGATGCTGGAGTCTAGGAAACAGCCTGAAGGGGAAAGGGAAGAGGTGGGTCTGAGAGCAAACAGGTGAGTCACCAGCACAAGTACCTCACTCAAAGTCACACAACAGTAAGTGGTGGAGCCTGTCTTGAGCCATAGCTGAAGTTCTGAATCCTGCCACTCCTGCTGCAGCCAGCACAAAAGAGTATTCCAGCCAGAGGCATCTGTGTGAGCAAAGGTAGCAAAGTCTGGAACATGTTTGGAAATAGCAGAGGGTTCCTTTGAGCTACAGTGTAAGGCGCTTGCAGAGGAACAGCAGGGAATAGGATCCATACTATGTAAAATCTAAAGGCCTGGCTCAAGAATTTGGCCTTGGTTCAGGAAGCAAAAGGAAAGTTATCAAAGGAAAGAGTTAAGGTAATTTATTTATAGCTATAACGATGTGAGAGAGAGGAAGGAAATGCTTGGACTCTCTTCAAACAAAATCAAGATACAAAGTGAAATAATTCTCAAGAATAAAAATTACAAGCATAGGGCTTCCCTGGTGGCACAGTGGTTGAGAGTCCGCCTGCCGATGCAGGGGACACGGGTTCGTGCCCCGGTCCAGGAAGATCCCACATGCCGCGGAGCAGCTGGGCCCGTGAGCCATGGCCGTTGAGCCTGCGTGTCCGGAGCCTGTGTTCCGCAATGGGAGAGGCCACAACGGTGAGAGGCCACAACGGTGAGAGGCCCGCGTACCGCCAAAAAAAAAAAAAAAAAATTACAAACATAATAAAGAGTTGCTTTTTTCCTAATTTTTGTATAGTTGCCATCTTTGATACTGGTAATAGAAATTAGGAAATCAAAAGCAACAAAAACAAAAATAAACAAGTGGGACTACATCAAAGGAAAAACTGCACAGCAAAGGAAACCATTAACGAAATGAAAAGGCAGCCTATTGAATGGGAGAAAATATTTGCAAATCATGTATTTGATAAGGGGTTAACAGGCAAAATATATGAAGCGCCCACACAACTCAATAGCAAAAAAACAATCCAATTAAAAAATGGGCAGAAGACCTGAATAGATGTTTCTCGAAAGCAGACATGTGGATGGCCAACAGACACATGAAAAGATGCTCAACATCACTAATCATCAGGGAAATGCAAATCAAGATCAAGATGAGATACCACCTCACACCTGTTAGAATGGCTATTATCCAAAAGACAAGAAATAAGTGTCGGCCATGATGTGGAGAAAAGGGAACCCTCGTACATGGTTGGTAGGAATGTAAATTGGTGTAGCCACTATGGAAAACAGTATGGAGGTTCCTCAAAAAATTAAAAATAGAGTTACCATATGATCCAACAATTCTATTTCTGGCTATATAACTGAAAAAAACGAAAGTGCTAACTTGAAAAGATATATGCACCCCAACTTTCATAGCAGCATTATTTATAATAGCCCATATATGGAAGCAACCTAAGTGCCCCTCAATGGATGAATGGATAAAGAAGCGCCATATAAATATATGATTTATAATTATGGAATATTATTCAGCCATAAAATAGATGGAAATTTTGCCATTTGCAACAACATGGGTGGATCCTGAGGGCATTATGATAAGTGAAATTAGAAAGACAAGTACCATCTGATCTCTCATATATGGAAGCTAAAAAAAAAAAGCGAAAAACAAACAAAAAAGAACAAGTAAACGAGTCTCTACTCTCTTTGCAGTACCTAACAAAGTACTTAGCACCTAACAGATGCTCAATAAATATTTGTGGAAAATATGAATTTAAAAAAAGTGTGGTAATGGTAGATCAAATGCAGAGAATTTAGAAATAGATCCACACAAATACACCCAATTAATTTTTGACAAAAGTGCAAAAGAAATCCAGTGGAGGGGAGAGAGCTTTTTAACAAGTGGATTAATTGTGGTATATTCTTAAAATTGAGTAGTACAACAGCAATAACTGCTGCTACACACAACAACATAATGAACCTTACAGATACAATGATTGTCAAAAGTAGCCATATACGAGAGCTTAATAACAACAAATAGGAATGAACATTCAGTCAAGTGAGGACCTACTATGAGCTGGGCACTGAGTCGAGGCTTTAGAGCATGTCAACATGAATAATTTGTTGGGCTCTTCTTATGTTTTCCTTTCCTTTTGAAGTTGCAGGAGAACGCCCCATGTAATGACGTTTGATCTGAAAAGAGATCTGTGGTATCCAGAAAATACACAAAATGATTGTTCACTCTGTTCTCATTTTGTGGTTTTAAATCTCAAGGTCATATGCTCTGGCTGGCTTTATTTGAAGTTAAATGGCTTGACCTCACTTGCAAATGAATGGAATGTGCACAAAAAAAGAAATGTCAGCTAAGAAGGAAAATGTCTCTGGGTGAGGGCAGTAAACTGGGAGATTTTACATCTTTTTTTTTTTTTTTTAATTTATTTATTTGGCTGCGCTGGGTCTTAGTTGCGGCACGTGGGATCTTCATTGCCGCGTGCGAGATCTTCATTGTGGCGTGCGGAATCTTTAGTTATGGGAAGAGACTGAGTTAGTGATTAAGCCCCTTGATACTGCCATTTGTTTAATCACAAACTGAGGACACTTGTTATTTAGTAACATGTATATCATCATCATCTTCAATGGCACAGATGCGCCAACTGAAGGTCTGGCTGTGAGCCGTACATTAGGCATGTCACAAAGGGGACACTAAATATTATATAAACTGGGTTCCTGAAGGTGGCTAGCTTTACAAATTTTAATCAATAGGCAGTGAGTCAAAAAATATGAATCCCTAGGTGGTTGTAAAATTTAGTTCAGCTTCCCTGCCATGACCTTACACTTGTAACCTGTTCACTCATGCATTCATTCAACATTTATTAAGTACTTTCTATCTTCCATGATTTCAACAAAGATTTATTACTGGTACATATGTGCTCGGCTTTGGGTAATGGTGAATAAAATAGATATGAGTCGACCCTAATAGAAGTACTGTTTATGCCCACGGTTTGACAGAGATCGTGGTGTCCAAAAACTCACTCTTTAGCCGGAAGACAAACTGGTAAGCCAACCTGCAGACACAATGTCATGAGTGTATGGAGGTGTTCATTGGGAATGAGTGGTAAGCTCTCCATGTGTCATGGGAAGGCTTCTCTAAGAAGCTAATGCAGTAGCTGGACCTTGAAAGAAAAACAAGAGATTTCAGACATTTGGGGAAACATGTTTTTTAAAATTAATTAATTAATTAATTAATTAGCGGTACGTGGGCCTCTCACTGTCGTGACCTCTCCCATTGCGGAGCACAGGCTCCGGACGCGCAGGCTCAGCGGCCATGGCTCACAGGCCTAGCCGCTCCATGGCATGTGGGATCCTCCTGGACCGGGACACGAACCCGCGTCCCCTGCATTGGCAGGCGGACTCTCAACCACTGCGCCACCAGGGAAGCCCGGGAAACATGTTTTGAGTAGAGCGAGTGGCAGGATGCTGAGGCATGGGAATGTGAAACATCATGCACGGTTTGGAATGCAGAGCTCTGAGGGCGTGGGGACAGGGGGGCAAAGCTAGGCCATGTGAGGCCTTGTGAACCATGTCTTAGAACTCGGATTTTATTGTGAGGCGTATGGAGGCGGTTGATGGTTGTGAAACAGAGAAGTGACATGATCAGGTTTGCCTTTTAGGAAAACCATCTACCAACATTGTGACTCCAGGAGCTACTAGAGAGACTGGATCAGTGCAACTTGGCCACTCCCTGGATGCAGGTGTGTGTGTGGAGCTGACAGGGTATGGGGGAGGGAGTCTAGGAGACTCCCAGGCTTCTGGCTTTTTGCAGCAGCCTCTGTTTGACCCCCAGACTCCAGACTTTTCACACTAAACGCATTCTGCAGGTGACAACCAGACCTATCTTCCTGGAACAGATCTTTTGTCATGTTGCTTCCTTGTTACAAAACATTCAGTCAGGGTTTCTCACTCCACAAATACGAATTTCTGAGCTTCCTTCCAAGGCCCTTTGTTGGGTCTACTCTCTGGTTCCAACTTTAAATCCTTCTGCTCACCAGAACACTCCTCTTTCCATTGCTGCAAAGACATTCCTTTCTCTTCCATCTCGGTGTCCCTGTATCTTCCTTCTGGATACCTTAAGCACACCATCCTCCAAGGCTAGCCTAGCTTCATCTCCCTCATATGGCCTTCTCTGACCACTTCATGCCTTGCTGATCCGCTGTATCTTCATCTACTGCAGTTTGGAGCTAAGTACGTAAGACTAGAATATGAGCCTCACAAGGGCAGGGATTTTGTTTATTTCACTGCTACATTCCCACACTTGGGAACAGTGCCTGGAACATGGTAGGTATTTGATAAACATTTGCTGAATGAATGAATGATTATTCGGTCCTCCATAAATATTTAAGAAAGAAAACATTCTCAAGAAATAGAACATTTGATGGATCTGATCATTAAGTCAACCAGCATATACTGAGTGATTGCTCTGTGACAAGCATTGTGATGGTTTCTGTGTATTCAAAAAGTAATTACGGGCTTCCCTGGTGGCGCAGTGGTTGCGAGTCTGCCTGACGATGCAGGGGACACGGGTTCGTGCCCCGGTCCGGGAAGATCCCACATGCCGCAGTGCGGCTGGGCCCGTGAGCCATGGCCGCTGAGCCTGCGTGTCCGGAGCCTGTGCTCCACAACGGGAGAGGCCACAACGGTGAGAGGCCCGCGTAGCGCAAAAAAAAAAAAAAAATTACACCTGGAGTCCTCAGTGTGAACAAAGTCATTATCCTACAGATCAGAATCTGATGAATATTTACATTTTAGCACACATAAACATCAGTAGGGAACAGTACAAACAATTTTTGTTAAAAAACCCCACAGAATTTCATGTCCCTTAGATTTCGAAGTCTTATTTTCAAAGACTTATTTTCAAAGTCTGATAATACCAAACTTTGGTAAAGATGTGGAGAAATAGCCACCCTCAAACACAGCTAATGGGGAGGAAAATTAGTCCAATCATTTTGGTGGGCAGTTTTCCAGTTATCTAGTAAAAGTGAAGATGGGTGTACAAGACAGTCCAGTAATTCTACTCCTACACAGGAAAGTTCTCAGACGTGTGCTTGGAGACAGAAACGATAGTGCTAAATGGTAGCACAGTTTGAAACAAACAGCTAGAAACAACCAAAATGTCTCACCAGCAGCAGAATGGATAAATAAATTGTGGTTGTATCCCGGTGGTGGAATCTTCTGGAGCTGTGACATGAATGAGCTTGAGCTATAACTATCCACATGACTCAGTCTCACAAATGTTATATTGAATTTTTTAAAAAAGCAAGGTGTAGAATAATAATGCATAAGGATCCTCTTTACATAAAGTTTAAACATAGAATATAATACAATATATTATGTGTGAATTGATATAAATGTAGTAAAAGTATAAAATATGCCTGTTAAGGTGACCAACCATCTCAGTTTGCCTAGAAATTTGTTTTACCGCTGAAAGTTCCATATCCTGGAAACCCTCCATTTTTCAGGCGCACCAAGACCATTGGTTGCCTTACCTGAAGAAGAGAAACATCCGGCTTAGAGTGGGGGTGACTTCTTCAGGAAGGGAAGGAAATGGGATTGCGTAAAGCTACGCTGAGTATAATTCAGCTGAATTTGTAATGTTCTGTTTCATAAACTGGATTATGGGTATGCGGGTATTTGTTATATTATTCTCCATTTGTACATCTTAAATATTTCATAATTAGGAAACAACCCCCCCAAACCTCCTATAATGGATGCACCCCCAGCTTTCAGGACTGAAGCACTCACTCCTTCAGCTGCCTGGAGTGCTGGCAGGTTCATCATCTTACTCTCACCCGAGTTTTGAACTTCCCCCATTCCTAACTGGCTTTGTTTGAATGGATACACTTCATTTCTGGGGGCAGCCTGCAGTCAATGACTGCTTGATACATGGCTGTAAAGGCTCATTCCTCGTTCCTCAATTCGGGACCCTTCTGAAGGGCCACCCAGGCTTCAGAGCTCCCTGCAGGGTCAGCTGAAGTGTCTGTTGTGATAGCATCACAGCCCACCTTCTTCTGCCCAGTCTCGCCTCCTTCCCTTCCCTTCCAGGTGTTGACCTGAGAGTACTCCCCAGTAGACAGGATGCATGCAGATCTCCATCTCAGAGTCTTTTTTCCAGGAGAACTTGACCTGTGACACTGTCCTTCCAAGAAAAAGTGAAAGAGAGAGGGAGAGACACTGAGATCACAAATTGTGAAATGACTCCCTTGCCTCTTTTTTTCTTTAGCACCTGCCTACTCCACTTTGTATCCCAGTTAATTTTTAAATCTCAAGCTTATATACTACACAGAATTCTAGGTCTGGATGTAAAAAAGAAACAGAGAAACACTGATTATTTTTTAATGAACAGTAACAAAGTGATATAATTTTTATTTCCCACAGAGGGGTTTTGTGGGTTAGAGAACATTCTAGCACCTGTTTTTGCTGTTCCCATCAAATGAGTCATTGAGAGGGATCGGGTGATTCCATCTGAGCAGAGGTGTATGACTCTGAAAAAAAATAAACAGAGTCTAAAACAATACGTAATGAGCCACTGACTTGTGTCATGTGGATAATAAATCCTCTCAGAACAGAGAGGAGGGGAAAGTCAGTGAGGTAAAGCAATGGGATCAGGTTCAGAACACCATTACAGAATAAAAATAAATGAGAAAAAGAAGGAGCGTCTCAAAGCAGTCATCTTTCCACAAGCCTAGCAGATCTAGGAGAAAGTTCAGTCATTTGATCTTGGACCATAACCTAAAATCTGCCAAGACCACTCTCACCACTATCCTTTCCCAGTCTTGATCCCATAACCTTCCAAACTCCAAGACTGCAGGGCTCCCTCCCCTAGAAAAACACACACACACACACACACACACACACAGCCAAAATTCCTACCATGGTTCCTAAGCCCCCTGATAATGTCTCATGTCTCCCTCGCCAAGTTCCCTAATGGGAGGAGGTACGGTTTGGTACTGCTTTCTAAATTCTGCTGGCAGGAAAGGGCTCTGGAAGTCAGCTAGATTTAAATCACAGCTCTACCACTCACTAGCTATGTGACCTGGGTCAAGTAACCACACCTCAATTTCCTCAACTATGAATTGAGAATAAACCTCCTAACGTAGGTAGGAGGACTAAGCAAGAAAATGTTTGCTAAGCATTAAGGGCAATGCTTGGAAAATCTGTGTAGAGTTTAATAAATGATGGATTACTTGAATATTTTTAAATGTAAAAATAATGATTCTAAGAAGGTGTAGGAAAAAACGCATACATATTTCAATACTATGCAAATTATTTTAAACTGACTGTGATGTAGGATTAAAATAAATCTAGTGAGGAAAGAAGGGAGGACTAAACTTCACGTTCCTACCAAACCATCTGTAGAAATGTTAAAATTAGAACATTCTTGTGACAGAATTGTCATGTTCATTGAACTGAATTGTCAGGGGAAAAAAATGGTCAGGTTCTGTTCAATGTTACAATTCCTATGAGAGTAATTAAAATCTGAAGTTCTGTTTCTTTATTTAGAAATAATGTCTGCTTGAAAAAAGAGCTCTAATTGTCCCTATTTACACACTGGCTGCAAGAGCCCATTCTAGGCAGACAGACAACTCTGTAATTAGCCCCCTTCAAGAACAAAGCAGTGACCATCTTTCAGCTGCTTTCTGGCTTTTGAGCTTAGGAAGCAAAGGAGATTTTTTGGCTCGCTTGCAAAATGGAATTTAAATCTGCCCCAAGCAGTCAGTTGCAAGAATGATAATTGCACAGTTTGTTACAATTGATTTATAGAGGCCCCAGGAAAGAATGAAGAGCTTCTAGCTAAAATTGTCAAATGAATAATCAGTGATATGTGAAATTTTCTCTTAAGACTTTAATGGCTGTATTTAGAATAAAATGGTAATGTTGACCTATTTCTCATGCAGTGAATAAACCAGCTGATATTTTGGAGTGTCTATTAATCATTCTTACAGACACCACCCTTCCGAATATCCACTAGGATCTGCTTTATATTAGTATTTTGCACATTTCAGATGAACTTTCAATGAAACAAATTTCGATTAATTGAATTACGCCTTGTAAAAGAATGTAGGCAAAAGTTAAAATTGTGCTACTGGGACCAACAAAAACTTTTATGTGCCACCAGAATCTTCTGCAAAGAGCGTATAGACTGAATTAACCTACCCCCTCTCCCTTGCAAAACACACATATAATATACACACGCATATATACACACTCAGCTCCAAAGGAATGATTCCACTTCGGTGTGTCACATGCAAATATTCTGCTTGTTTCATTCAGTCTAGCAGTCTATGATGTGAATTTAATCTAGCTACATTTATTGTGATTACTGATGTAATTTGGACTCTCTCTGCTCTTTTACTCTGCTATTTTATTAGTTTTTCATAATTCTTTGCTCTTGATTACAGCCTCCATCCTTTATCTCTTTTAAGATTTTAACGTAAGTAAAGATCCTTTGGGGATTGCTATATTTCTATTTCTTTGGCTAATAAACTTTCCTATTTGTTTGGTTTGTTAGTATCTTTCCTGGGTTTGGATTACTGCATGAGTTTGTAAACTTGCGGCCTCATCCCTCGCTCATTACTCTTCCTGTTCTACAATGACTTTTTTTTTTTTTTGCAGTACGCGGGCCTCGCACTGTTGTGGCCTCTCCCGTTGCGGAGCACAGGCTCTGGACTCGCAGGCTCAGCGGCCATGGCTCATG